TTTTCTTTACCTCAGAGCAGAGTGAATTACTCAAATAAGCTTCTGAAGTTGGCCAAGGAAAGACCGTACAAAAACTAACAGGCATCTTAAAGGAGAGAAAATTCAAAGCTACACACATGCGCTGTAGTCCCCCTTTCTAACTATTTTTCACAATAAAGAAAATGTCATTCTCCCTCTCAGTAAACCTATTCTGGAAATCCTAAGTTGCGCAAAGAAGCAGTTGTGCGCTCAAGCCTTCTATGAAGGATAAAATAGGCACTACACACAAAGCTTCCGATCAAGATGCTTTGATTCCATCCAGAATGGATCGGAGTCCAAATAACGATGAAATGATAAAAGGCTTTCCGGTTTATTATTTTTATTGACTACTTGCACGATCATCGATGCGACAGTACACGTATGCTACGAATATGGCAGGTAGCAATTAAGTACGGAAAAAGAAGATTCGGCCGCTACCGGTCGGTATCTCGCTTCACTAGGCTTCACACTTAAAAATTACGAGCGGCGCCAGAGAAAAAAATTCGATGAAGGTAAAATCATATAATTATTTGTTTGTATGAAAGAAAAAATTATTTGTTTTCGGTCTGTAAAGTCCTATACAGTGGAAAAGGGCTGCCTTTTGAGAAATACCCTCTTCTCAACGTCCCAATGACGAAAAACTCTCCCAAATGCAAACCTGCATATATAGTCAGCAATTCGTTTCTTGTCTAAACGTGGATTTTCACGCAACCAGGATACAACATCAACTGGATCCAGTGGCGATTTCAGGATCCCTTTTTCTTTCAAAAAGTCTATTCCTGTAAATTTTTGAAATAATCCATCAAATAAATGCTGTATTAACAAAACTGAGCCACTGCTAACGGCAAAATCTTTATCATACACGCGATGGGCATTCTCAGAAAATGCTAGGAAACGCTAAATTTTCCCTTCTAAAGCCAGTGTAGAAAAATGAAGCAAACGAACCCTTTCTGTGTTAAGTCGGCTAAAGCTGTGAAACGAATCTCAGATTTTGTAACACCCCATTTTACCGCCTCGAGCAAAAAGACCAAAGCAAAGAGTTGGTGAATTTTTCATCTCTGAACACCACGACCGTTATACAGACAAAGGTCCAGCCATGGTGTTGAGCTAAGACGTATATGACTTAATGGCCCGGGAAGTCTTAACTCATTCATGCCTAATTCTTTCACAGTTGAGCTAAAACGCATATGACTTAATGGACCGAAAAGTCTTAACTCATTCATACCCAACTCTTTTACACTAACTCTAAAAATTCTACATCCCCCTTCTCCACTTTTTCCTCCCCCATACATAGTTCGCTCCATGCCTACCCTCCTCACGTTCTTAACATTACTTTCATGCTACAATCATGCTACAGTCAGTTTAACATGGAGATGACAAAGCACTTTTATCAGCTGGGACTGAACTAGGATACAAACCTTTTTTTGGGTCCTGATTGAACAGCACGGTTGCCTCTGTGATGATTCGTTTCTTCTTTTTTCTTTCAATTACTTCCGTAATAGATGGAAGTGTGCGTGACGGAGCCATTCGATTTGCCCGAACTGCTGTCGATGGCAGAAGTGCTTCACGCAGAGCCGCCGTCTCGGCAGCAGTATCTGCTGAAATTAAACGCAGAAATTCCCCTAAATCGACTAAAATCACTGCGCAAACGTGAATATTTTTCTCAGCAACGAACAAAATTAGTAGCTCAGATATGCCATCGACACTTATTGCCTCTGGCATGCACCTCAAAACTATCACCGAAACGGAAAAAGCCTGGAATCGGAAACGTCCATGAAAGGAGGGATGGACCTGGTGCATGTCTAGAAGTTTTTATAGTCAACAAACTATGTAACACACAATATCATACCAGTTTCCAAATTTAAATCCTAAAACTCAAAGCATTCTCCTTCTTGCACATTGACCAAATTATGAACAATATTCCCAGACAATTAAGGCCCCTTGCAGAGTGCTTTAAAAGCCTTTTTTTGCAAATTCTGCGACATGCTGGAAACTGTAGAAAAATGAAAAACAAAAGAGGGAATATGAGATATGTGAAGAGAGTTTCCACAACGAAAGTATCGGATTTGTGCAGCGAGACCTACTGAGGACAATCTACTAGTATTCCCTGTTGCAGGCGTGAATAGAACTGAGGCAACTCTAAATTTAACTCGCAATACCATGATTATACGTACATGGATTTTCGTCCGCCTTGGCCGGATCGAGTTGTTGTCGAGCAAATGAGTAGCCGCTGATAACTGGTAAATGTAGCTTCGTCGATGCTGGTCTAAAAAATGTTTAACACAAATTTTTGCGTGCCGAAAATGACCTATACAGGCTGCAGAACTGTAGTTTTTGAAGCAATATGAGTGCTTTCCTCTGTGTCCCAAGTGAAGGTATGGCCTTTTTAATGACAGCCACTTTCTACTACTAAAATAATACTTCTCCAAACTGCCCTAGAAGAAAGCTACCCTTGTAATGGTCTCTAAAATGCCAGTAGCAACTCGCTTTTGCTATAACTTTTCATCGAAACGAATCAAAAAATCAAACGGAGCTTAATATTTTCAGCAAAAAAATTTGAG